TTTTCATAATATGTTTTCTTCCATGTAATGCTGATTTTGTTTACTCTCCTAAGGTAATATTTCTAAAGCATGTCTAATATTGAGAAGCATACAGGAGTTAAATCATAAACCAGGCATGGTGAGTTTAAAACATTACAAAATTGCAAAGCAGTTGAACTGATTATTTATATGTCTAATGTGTATTCACTTTAATTTCTGCTTATATCCTTTTAAGTTCATAAGGCATGGGAGTAGTAGTTATAATAGGAGTAGTTGTCTGGTATAAATTTAATTTTATTCTCTGCTTTGGTATTGGTTTGTTATTCAGTCAAATGTGCCAGGCACTATTTAGGCCTTATATTATCACTGAAAGCCAACCTCAAATAATCTCAGATCTGTATAGGGAATTTCTTAGCCTTTACCATTTTCATCAGTATGATTTCTTTAAATTAAAACAATTTCATAATAGTGGCTAACAAATTGAGTTTTTAGTTTTCTGATTATTCAAACATCACAGGTTTCAATCACTAATATAGCTGTAAAAGCATCTTTTCCATAGTAGAAACTAATTCTGTAGTGACAGTATGTGCATCTTTTGGTCAGGGACTGTTTTATTCATGTTTGTGTTCTCTAACATGGCTAATGTGCAGTCGGCACTCAGTAAGTGTAGTAATATGGTAGTGCTTTCCCTTGAAGATTCATATTTAAAGGATCGTGCTATAATTACTTTACCTTAGAGTCAAATATAGTATATAACTGAAAATAAAATGTTTCTAGTATTTAATATATAGCCTTATTTTACCTTTCAAGGAATTTATCCATTTCATTTTGGTTGCTGACTTTATTAGCGTAAAAGTTTTTCATTTTATTTATTTATTACCCTTTTTATATCTTCAGAACCTCTTTTATTCCTGATATTGGTGATTCATGTCTTCTCTTTTTTTCTTTTTCCCTCTGATCAGCCTGTCCAGAGGTTTATCTATTTTCCTAAGTTTTCTTTTTTCTTTTCTTTTTTTATGAGACGGAGTTTCACTCTTGTTGCCCAGACTGGAGTGCAATGGTGTGATCTCGGCTCACCGCAGCCTCCGCCTCACGGGTTCAAGTAATTCTCTTGCCTCAGCCTCCTGAGTAGCTGGAATTACAGGGATGCCGCACCACGCCCGGCTAATTTTGTATTTTTAGTAGAGACAGTTTTTCCATGTTGGTCAAGCTGATCTTGAACTCCAGACCTCAGGTGATCTGCCCACCTCAGCCTCCCAAAGTGTTGGAATTACAGGCTTAAGCCACCACACCTGGCAGTTTTACTGATTTTTCTTAAAGATCCAGCTTTTTTGTTTTTTTTTTTTTTCT